GCCATCCTGAGCTTTAGATCCTATGTAGGCATTATTCCAGCAAATCTACATCTCAGTCCAACTCCCTATTTCTACACAGTGAGCAGCACTTACTAAACCATGATTCCCAACCTTGGGTAACCCAAGTGTTCTTGGACTGCAACTCCCAGAAGCTTTCATCACTAGCTGTGCTGGTCAGATTTCTGGAGGTTGCAGTCCAAGAACATCTGGGTTACCCAAGGTTGGGAACCACTGTCTCGAACCATTACAATGCTTACTATGAGCTTACTATGTACAAGTAGCACATACTAGGGAGGGAGAGTTTCATTTCTCTTTCATTTCAGGGTCTTCCGGTGGGTGCTCTTTCATTTTCGGAATCTTGCTGGTACGAGGCCTTTTGATATTTTATTAAATATTAAATATTTTGGAGGTATTTACATTTTGGTTTTCTCTTTCAGTTTTCCCAACAAGGCAAGGTAAGGAGTGGGAGAAGAAAGACAGGGAAGGGAGAAGGGCTCAGGCAGGAGGGCAATGACAGGACAGGAAGGGAAAAGACTAAGGCTTGGAAAATAGTAGCAGTGGGTAGGAAATGACATGATTGAAAGAGTAAAGAGAAAGAGGTCTGTGGCAATGAGGCTGTAAGGAAGGATAACAAGGCTTACGGCAATGGTGCAATGACAGGTAGGAGGATGAACAGGGCTGGTGGTTCCATGGCAATGACAGCATGGGAAAGGCAGTACATATGTGCCAAATGGAGGTAACTCAATAGAGGAAGCCTGCAAGTAATATGTAGGTTTTGGCACACTCTCTTTCAGAATCCTGAATCTTGCAGATTTCAGACATTCTCAATTGAGAAGCCATGAAATACACCAGAATGGAAAGAAACAGCTTCTTTCATGGGGTTTTCCATTCATGTTAACCCAAAAGTGTCATCTATCCCCAATACATGCCAAAACAGCAAAATATTTTACCATACAAATTGCTTGAAAGAGATCATTTTGTTCATGGCTGTGCTGCATGTACACAGTATAAAAACTCAATAGAAGACATGCTCTTAGGTGCAGTAACACAGATCTGTTTTGAAAGAGCATGGAAAGGAGTAAGGAGGAAACTGCAATACTGCTCTCAGAATTTGATAAAGGCTAAATGTTTTAGATCAGCAAGCGTTAATGCTGGATTTGTTCTCCTACTACAGTGTTAGGACCGAAAACAGAGCTTTAGGAAGATGGAAATATTTCCCCTGATTCTCTTAATAAGACATAAGACATAAGAAATTTATTTGTCATTGCGCTCACAAGTGGGTGCAACGAAATGAGGTGCTCTTCCCCAAGGTAAAACTGGACAACACTACAAAAAAAAGTTAAAATATACACAACTTTCACCATCCAAATATAGATACCCCGTTTGTGTTAGGACCGAAAACAGAGCTTTAGGAAAATGGAAATATTTCCCCAAATTCTCTTAATGTTCATGCTTATCAAATTAGCAGATGACACAAAACTGTGTGAAACAGCCAGTACCATCCAAATATAGATACCCCGTTTTCTCTCAGCAATGTTCATGCTTATAAAATTAGCAGATGACACAAAACTGTGTGAAACAGCCAGTCCCCCTGGAAGACAGAAACAAAATTCAAAATGATCTTAGAATTGAGCACTGGGCTGAAAACAACAGAATGAAATTAACAGGGATAAGGGCAAAGCTCTACACCAAGGGAGAAAAAACAACAACAAATGCACAGTTACAAGATGTGGGACGCTCGGCTCAGTAATACCACAAACATGAAGGATCTTGGAATTGTTGGAAATCACAAGCTGAAGATGAGCCAGTATGAGCCAGATAAGGAAATAAAGAAAACCACCACTAGAAATCAGGCTTTTTCAACTGTGGCACCCACTTTATGGATCATCAAACCTCCATTAGAGATTAAGCAAGACCCCTCCCTACAGTCTTTTAGAAAATTATTGAAGACCAAACTGTTCAGGAAGGCGTTTGGCAACATCTGATGTTAAATTTGTCACCCATTTATTAAATTGCATAATTTGAAGTTCTTATCATGTTTATTGATTATATTGGGTTATATTTATTTCCTTTTTGATTTATTGTAAATTAATTGAAGTTGTTGGTGTCAGTTGATGGTCATCTTTCTGTTAATGTATATAAATGTCTGTTTGAGATGCTTTTCCTTTATTTTTTTCATGTTTTTATTGGTGTTATAGTATTTCTATATTTTGTAAACTTTCCCAAGTAGTAATTTCACCAACTTGTGCAGTCTATAATGTTTATAAATGTGGCTGCAAAAAAGACAAATGCTATTTTAGGCTGTACATAGATGTATACAGTAGTCTCCAAATCCTGCAAAGTATTAGTTCCTCTCTATTCAGCAATGGTTAGATTTCAGCTTGAAATACACTATAACTATGTAGATATTATAAGACAGAAACTTGAGAAGCTTCCTGAACGCTGCCAAATGGGACACTGAAATACACCAAGAAAGATGTTTCCCCTCAGCCTTTCTACATTTCTAACTAGCCTATTGACCACTCTCGGCTCACATGGATTTTATCTGAATATTATATCCCCAGGAGCGGTTCCAGGTGACCTGGATTTAGGGTAAGGTGTGCTTTATCTGCTACAGTTAGTTTGCAAGAGTGAAAGATAGACGTGTAGTTTTAAATGTGTTTGGATCAGAGGTTTTCACTAAATGATGCCCAAGAAAGAAAACATGGTTACAACTGTATTGTATTTCAGCCTTCTTCTGCCTGTGAACAGCTACACTCTGTCTCAGGGCAGGAAATATGTGGCCCTCCAGATGCTGCTGAACTTCAGTTCCCATCAGCTCTAGTCAGCCTGGCCTGTATTGAAGCATAATGGGAACAGCAATTAATCAGCTTGTGAATGGATGAAGATTTCTATCTCTCATTCTATCCCAAACATCTTTCTCTGTCCCATATTTGAAAATTACTTCTTTACATGTTAACAGCTCTGCATATAGAGATAACTCTCTAAACATTATTTAAAGATGGAGATACCTTAACCAGTTGTTGGCCTAGTGCTGAGCATGCCCCAGGCTGTCTAAATCTACATATAAGAATACAACACACAACTCTTTTAGAGCAAAAGGCCACAACTTTATTGGTTACCGCAGCAGGCTGAAAGTTCCACTGGGAGTGGCAGTCCTTTGGAGATCACACAGGTGCATGCCGGTCCATGACTCTCTGAGGACAGGGCTGGGCCAATGGGCCCACAAGCTAGGCCAAACCATGGACCTGTTCCAGTTCCTTTTTAACAACCTGGTCGAGCAGGCTCCTGCTTGTCACCTTCATATCTTCTGGATCCAACCCCAATGCCCTGAACTGCCAACAAAGTTTTGACAAAGGGGATACAATGCATAGTAACCGTAACAACCAACCAATGTCCCCAAATAGTCCAGTAGTAAACATTAACTTGTATCATCATACCACTATCATAACAAAAAGGGTGGAGGGAAAAAGCCAGCAACCTGCAGACTGGTTAGATCAGTCTCCCTGCTTTATTTATATGCTAGGAAGGCAGACTGAATTTTTTAAATTTATTTTTCAATTTCCTGTGGCCAAAGCAAAACCAGTAGGGAGAAACCCTTTCCCACTGGCCAATGGGAAACTACTGCAGGGATGTTTCACTGTTATCCTCCCAGCTTCCTAAACTCTCTGAAAGACCTGTGTGAGAGCCACCATTCCAGATCCAGTCATCTATGTGACTTGCCACTGGCTGGGAGCTGCTGCTCCAGCCACAACTGAGGTGCTCCAGATACTGTATTTTTCCGTGTATAAAATGCCCCCAGGTATAAGATGCCCCCCACTTTTCTAACCCAAAATTAAGACATCTGAGTGGGGCTTAGCAAATGTAGGGGGGAAAGGATCAAAGCGCTGCAGGATCGCTTTGATCCCTGCTTTCTCCCTTCATGCTAAGCCCCGCTGGGCTTAGCAAAAAGAGGGGGAACGGGACTCTCACCGCACAGGTGGCATCTGCAGCTTGGGGATACATCTGGACCCGGCGCTTACCATGGAAACCCAGGTGGTGTCCGTGGCCCGCTCTGCCTATTTCCATCTGTGGCGGATCACCCAGCTGCGACCCTACCTTAATGGGGGGTCCCTCACCACTCTTCTCCATGCACTCATAATCTTGAGATTAGACCACTGTAATGCGCTCTACATGGGACTACCTTTAAGATTGATGTGGAAGCTTCAAATGGTGCAGAATGCGGCGGCCAGACTCTTTAGTGGGAGCATATCTCCCCCAATCTGGCTGCCTTACATTGGCTGCCCATTCATTTCCACATTGACTTCAAAGTGTTAATGTTGACGTATAAAGCCCTAAATGCTTTGGGACCTCGATATTTGGCAAATCACCTTCTCCCACCTAGATCTACCTGAATTGGCATAGCCAGGAGGGATGGTTGAGGGGTGAGAGGGACCTGGAAAGAAAAGAACAAGAAACCGGGCCTTCTCAGCAGTGGCCCCTCGACTATGGAACAGCCTTCCAACAGAGATCTGCCTGGCACCTTCTCTGGGTGTTTTTAAGAGCCATTTAAAGACTTTGCTCTTTAGGCAGGCCTTCCCTTCCAACAATTCTTGAATTCTATCTTTGTTTTATCATTCCCCTTCTTGAACACACCATATTATTGATTTACTTCTTTAATGATTATGATGTTTCACTATATTTTATGATTTTTGATATTTGTAAGCCGCCCCGAGTAGATGCTGTCTAGGGGGGAGGGGTAAAAATCTAATAAATAAATAAATAAATAAATAAATAAATAAATAAATAAATAAATATAAGCAATCCCGCAACTGCACAATTGTTTTGATCCCTTTTCCCCTTATACAGCCATGGGATTGCTTTGATTCTTTCCCCCTCCTTTTGTTAAGCCCCATGGGACTTAGCAAGCAGAAGATTAGCAAGTGGAGGGGAAAGCATGGATCAAATCCCTGCAGGAACAATTTGATCACTGCTTTCCCCTCCACTTGTTTTTGTACTCTCCTCAGCTTACTTCCGTGTATAAGATGACCCTCAATTTTCAGTCTAAAAATTTTAGACAAAAGTATAGTCTTATAGACTGAAAAATATGGCAAGTCTAGGTCCCCATTCCTTCCTCGACTTTCATGACCATGATCCAAAGACTGCATTCACCATTTCCATTTCTTCCACCATTCCTCTCCTCAGTTTCTCATGAAACTGAAAAACTTAAAGGGAAATTGGTGTCACATTTGTGGGTTCCCTTCACTTACTTTTCTTGCTATCTCCTGATACAGTAAAACCGATATAATTGGTGGAAAACCTTCCCTGTTTTTTCTGTCTCTTTTCATTCATGTCCCACTACCCATGTTCCATATCCTTCACTTGGTATAATAATAATAATAAAAATCTTAGAACTGCAGAGCTGGAAGGGACTCTATGGATCATCGAGTCCAACTCCTGTTAAGGAGGCACAGTAGGGAACTAAACTCCCAGCCTCTGAGTCTAATATCCCAGTATGCCTGCTTACCCTCCTTTCTTGACACCTTGTACTTTTCAATGGCAGCAGCTCAGTCCTGAGATGTTGTTTTTAGTTTGGAGAGTTACCATTTTAAATTTAATATCTTAGTCTAGAAAGATGTCATTTTTAGCCATCCTGAGAACTCCATGTTCATTGGTACAGTGTCCTATGTGCTTTTTGAGCATGCTCATGATTATTCAGGGCACCGTGTGTGAGAGAGAAAGCCACTTAGTTTACATTTAGAACTTGACAAAAATTATAAGGAAAGGCACATTTCTTCCTTTTGTTGAAGATTCTGAAGTGATGATTGGAATGTTTGTAACGTACATATTTTCCCACCAGTGAATAGTTCACTACCATCTGAAAAACATCACATACACAGAATCCAGTAGACAGTTTAAACACCATGTCTTTCTGAAACTATTTGTCTCTTTAAAATGACCTTAATTTGCTTCTTTGCCTCACAGACTAATGAACTCCAACGTCTGCACAACACATTCTTTGTCTTGGCTGGTTTTCATAATGTTTCCTCATTTTGGAATATCAAGAGCCTGATAGTAATCATCTAACTGTTCTTTCAAACACTCAGCTGGCAACCCTGCTGCTTAATGACATCTCTTTTACACAATCACATTGTTCCTTCGACAATGGTTGTAATTGTCCACGTCATCATTCGACTGCCATGGCTGAGCAATTTGGGTTACCTTCATTTGTACCCACAAGCAGGTAGGTGCTAGGTCATTTTGTGCTACTAATTAATCTTCATCAGCCTATATGTAGAAGGGCAGTAGTGGGAATGCAATTGGGCTAATAAGGATTTAGAGGTGATCTCAAGTTGTCTTCCTTCACTTTTCTTATTCCAAACATGAACTGCATAGGTGTTTTTGAACAGTTTAGGAAGATCTGAAGAATTCACAACTTCAAAGTATTTTCGCCATTCCTGCCAGCGGATGGGATAAAAGGCTTCTCGGGGGAGAGTCGTGACCCCCCTGCAGCTTGTACTGCTCCGGAGGCTACGAATGGAACACCACTTCTTAAACATGCGTGTGAAGAGCTGTGGACCTTGGTGTCCCCAGATCCACCGGTTGTAATTCTCCACATAATCTTGCATACAAAGCTCTATAAACTTGTGTGTAGGATCAAATGAAAGGAAGGCCCCATTCAGTAAATATTTGGACTGTGTACCAAGCACATTTGTAAGGTTGTTTAGGTTCTTAAGGACTATGAAGTCTGTGTCTAAGTAGATGCCACCAAATTTCCACATGATGGTGATTCGGCAGGCATCAGAAAGGATGGGCAGGAAATAAGGTTCCCATCTCTGCTGGGCCAGGGAATACCAGCTAGCCAGGGGAGTGTCTGAAAACAGGTTTTTCAGATCCAATGGTTTGATTTCAATATTAGGGAAGCAGCTCATCAAGGAGATGCCCAAATTTTTTGGCAGTGTATTGTTGTAATTCACCAAGCCCTTCATAAGGACAATAATTTTAGACTCTGGGTGAACCCTGGCTGCTGATTCAACAGAACACATGAACAGTAAGTTGGGGTTAGTTCGTTCTGATGTTTCCACAAAGTATATGTCCTTGCCTGACTGAGAGGACCACCTGGGTGTCGGAGTGGGTGGAGCGGGACATTTAACAGCTGTAGGCAACCCATAGTTTTGTCTCCTGTCTACAGCATATTGGCTAATTCTCCAATAAAACATGATGGAGATGAAGGACATGAACTTAAAGATGATGAAAAATGCCGCCCAGAGTTTGTGTTTTGAAGCCATCTTTGTTAATCTCAGCACACAGATAGGCACCTTGTGCATCATCTGCCCTCTGAAGATTTGAGCTCTCAGGTAAGCCAGTGTAAGCTGCAAAAGAGAGGAAAAGCAAATAAATTAGTACCTACAGTGTGATAAATAACTGCACACTAGGAAGTACTGAAAACATGATTAATATTGAACAAAATCCCCCCTCCTCCAAAATTACTTACATTTCTCCCATGGGAAGAATAAATATTTCCAGAAATTCTATGAGTGATTGAATGTTTATAAAGTATTTGACACATAAGATGCAGTACATGTGTTGGGATTAAATTGTTGGGGAAAAGCAAGTTTCAGTCCCCACTCAGCCATAAATCTGCCATGACATTGAACTGGTCAATATTCTCACCCTTACCTTTATCTTTGAGGATGACTGTGAGAATAAATATGAGCAACAAGCAGATATGTCACATTGAGTTCTGTGGAGAACAGGTAGAATATAGAGGTAATAAATAAAATATTTGGCTGCTGATATTGCAACTGTCAGCACCTGCCCAACATGTTACAGCATTGAAAGCTTAAGATTCTACATGTGAAACGTTTCAGAATAAACCTATCTACCTGCCTACCTGCCTGCCTGCCTGCCTACCTACCTACCTACCTACCTACCTTGTATCCTGTCTCTCTGCATCCTGTATTTCAAAAACAAAGGCAGCTAAGAACACAAGCAATTAGAATATTGAAACAGTACAAAATGTCATTGCTTGGGAACAGCCATGAAAAACATCCTCCTTCCCCACCACATGTACCTGTGATGTTGGTGGGACAAAAAGAAAGCCTCTCCTGAAGATCATGTGTCCCAGGCAGGCCCATATAGGGACATGCAGTCCTTCAGTTAACCTGGATTCATGCTGTATGTATAGGTCATCACCAGCACTTCGAACTGTGCTTCAATATAAATCTATGTATAGATACTAAACTACATGAATGCCTTGGTCAAATTTCAATATAAATGCTAAACACATTTTAAAACATGACAACAGTTGACCAACTTAGTTAGTTAGGCATCCTTCAGTCTCGAAAGACTATGGTAGCGTGCTCTGTGTGGAGGACTTGGAACAGCGTCTAGTGTGGCTGAGGAGGCCAATTCGAGAGTGACAATCCCTTCCACACTGAAGACAAATCCAATCTGTCCCCTGTCCAGCTCCCTGGTTTTGCTGCTTTTGTGATTTCCTCTTTGCCTCGGCCTGCTGGGCAAGGGTCGCTTCAAATTGGGAGAGGCCACGATGCAGTGCCTGCCTCCAGGCTGAACGCTCAGATGTCAGGGTTTCCCATCTGTTGAGGTCTATTACTAAGGCCTTCAGATCTCGCTTGCAGACGTCCTTGTATCGCAGCTGTGGTCTCCCTCTGGGGCGATTTCCCTGCACTAATTCTCCATACAGGAGGTCCTTTGGAATCCGACCATCAGCCATTCTCACAACGTGCCCAAGCCAACGTAGACGTCGCTGTTTCAGCAATGTATTCATGCTGAAAATTCCAGCTCGTTCTAGGACTACTCTGTTTGGGACTTTGTCCTGCCAGGTGATGCCAAAAATCCGTCGGAGGCAACGCATATGGAACGTGTTCAGCTTCCTCTCCTGCCGTGCACAAAGGGTCCAGGACTCGCTGCAGTACAGGAGTGTGCTTAGGACACAGGCTCTATAGACTTGGATCTTTGTATGTGTCGTCAGCTTCTTATTGAGCCATACTCTCTTTGTGAGTCTAGAGAACATGGTGGCTGCTTTGCCAATGCGTTTATCCAGCTCGACATCCAGAGAGAGGGTGTCAGAGATGGTTGAGCCAAGGTACACAAAGTCATGAACAACCTCCAATTCTTGTGTAGAGATGGTAATGGAAGGAGGTGAGTCCACGCCCTGGCCCATGACTTGTGTTTTCTTCAGGCTGATTGTTAGTCCAAAGTCTTGGCAGGCCTTGCTGAAACGATTCATGAGTTGTTGGAGGTCTTCAGCAGAGTGGGCAACGATGGCTGCATCATCTGCGAAGAGGAAGTCCCGCATGCATTTCAGTTGGACTTTGGTCTTCGCTCTCAATCTGGAGAGATTAAAGAGCTTTCCGTCTGATCTAGTCCGGAGATAGACACCCTCGGTTGCAGTTCCAAAGGCATGCTTCAGCATGACAGCAAAAAAGATCCCAAAAAGTGTTGGTGCGAGGACACAGCCCTGTTTCACTCCGCTTCGGATGTCAAAGGGGTCTGATGTTGAGCCGTCAAAAACTACAGTGCCTTTCATTCCCTCATGGAAAGATCTGATGATGTTAAGGAGACGAGGTGGACATCCAATCTTGGGAAGTATTTTAAAAAGGCCATCCCTGCTAACCAGATCAAATGCTTTTGTAAGGTCTATGAAGGCCACTAAGAGCGGCTGTTGTTGTTCCCTGCATTTCTCCTGCAGCTGTCGGAGGGAGAATACCATGTCAGTGGTGGATCTATTAGCTTACTGGAATTAGTAGAAAAGTATAAGTGTACATATATACATGCAGATGCATATATGGATATCCAGTGATGTTACAAATGTCTAACATTTACTAGTGAATCTCAAAACAGTGGTTATCTTAATGTTACCCATTTGCCCGCACTAACTAATAAAGGACTTGTGCAGAGGTGGACATGGATGGGTGGATTGGGTTGGAGTAGGTGTGTTTTAAAGCATCCTTGCTTTATATTCCCTGTTTATTATCCTATTCAACGTCATTGTCTGGGTTTACCAAAAAGTGTCAACTGTTAAGCAGGTGCTGAAATACACTCTTTTCTAGTAATGGAGGATGTTTGGGGTTATGGAGGATTGTTAGAAACAGAATATTTTCTGTTTACTGAAAAACTTTAAGAGGACAAGGTGATATGTTTCACAACGTATAAACACCTGCTTGCTACCTGAGAGTAAGTTTCTCCATAAGGCAGTTATGTGGCCATGTCTACAAGAGCACAACCATTCTAAAGAGCTCCAGCTTAATTATAGGAAGCTTCCAAGCTAACCAATGTACTGGGGCTGTTCTTGCTGAACCTAGAATGCTGAACCAGTGATCTTAACAGAGACATTATGCACAGAGGGCAATCAAATGTTTTTAATAGTGTTTTTAATATCCTTATATTTTTGTGGGTGTTTAGTGTTATATCTTATGATGTTTTTAAATGTGATTGTTATGTAGTTTTAACTGGATGTAAGCTGCTTTGAGAAAGGTGGCATTAATAAATAAATGAAGTTGTGTCATTTTCATTTAGCAGTACAATAAAGTACAGTAGCATATGTTTAGTGGCTTGGCAAGAGAAGTATATTGGGTAAAGGTTAAAATAGTGATAGATGTTCAAACAGGTGGGCATTTGAACATTACCTGGAGGGTAGATTAATTCAATGATAAGTTTTCTCTAGAAAAGCACCAGTTTTGATTGGACATACAGTCCTCCCCGCCCTCAATTGAATTCAGGAGAAATGTGCTACATACTGTTAGTAGAATAGTCAGCAGTAGAGATGGGGGTATTTGTATACAAATATGAATATCCCCCCCCACTGGTGGAAATAACGAGGGCCTGGCCTCACTGTCCACTCACCATTCTGCCACTGATGTGAGCTTGATAGAGCCTTCCTATTGTGACGTTGTTTGCAATGGATTAGCGACTCCTGGTAGGAGGCGGGATGACAAGCCTCTCTGCCAGGTTGCAGAGTGGCTAATCCATTGCGGACAATGGCGCAATAGGAAGGCTCCATCAAGGTCACGTCAGCAGCGGAATGGTGAGTGGACAGTGGGGCCGAACCTTCATTATTTCCACCTGTGGGACGATATTCGTATACGAATACGAATAACCCCATCTCTAGTCAGCAGTAGTTGAGCTAATAACGACAACATCATTAGTCATTTTCACAGATGAGCAGTCTGGTCTATACAGAACTTGTATATCTGGCCAGTTTATTCTTAAAATAAAATATTATATTCTAAGCTTGATTAGAATATCCTGTTTCAGCAGCTTCCCTAAGATTTGTAGTTTTAAATTTTTTTTCAAGATGCTTAATGTGAATGAAATTTGTATATTGAAAATTAGTTCCTGCTTCTTTCTGTGTAATAGAAGGTTACTTGTCAAAGAATTTTCACAATGATATGCTGAAGGCATCCATAACAGAGCAGGGGTAAGATGATTCACTGATCCCCAGAACATCATCCTACAACTCTGTTACAGTTGGCTTCAGCTATCTTGCTTTGCAGCTCTGTCACTGACAGTGGCAACATGATGAAAATAGCTTACAATAAGAAGTCTTAAGAAAGTGTACATAAGTAACTAAATTGTCAATGTCAGTCTTAGAATTTTGTGGCCGGAAGAAGTACAGGAGTTATAATAACAATAACAACAACCAGAGCAGCAACAGTTTAAATTTCCTAAAAAAAAAAATTTAATTCCTTTCTGTCCTTATTTGAAACTGAGCGGTAAGATTTCATCATACGTCATCATATTTTATGTTAGTTAGTTAGGCATCCTTCAGTCTCGAAAGACTATGGTAGCGTGCTCTGTGTGGAGGACTTGGAACAGCGTCTAGTGTGGCTGAGGAGGCCGATTCGAGAGTGACAATCCCTTCCACACTGAAGACAAATCCAATCTGTCCCCTGTCCAGCTCCCTGGTTTTGCTGCTTTTGTGATTTCCTCTTTGCCTCGGCCTGCTGGGCAAGGGTCGCTTCAAATTGGGAGAGGCCACGATGCAGTGCCTGCCTCCAGGCTGAACGCTCAGATGTCAGGGTTTCCCATCTGTTGAGGTCTATTCCTAAGGCCTTCAGATCTCGTTTGCAGACGTCCTTGTATCGCAGCTGTGGTCTCCCTCTGGGGCGATTTCCCTGCACTAATTCTCCATACAGGAGGTCCTTTGGAATCCGACCATCAGCCATTCTCACGACGTGCCCAAGCCAACGTAGACGTCGCTGTTTCAGCAATGTATTCATGCTGAAAATTCCAGCTCGTTCTAGGACTACTCTGTTTGGGACTTTGTCCTGCCAGGTGATGCCAAAAATCCGTCGGAGGCAACGCATATGGAACGTGTTCAGCTTCCTCTCCTGCCGTGCACAAAGGGTCCAGGACTCGCTGCAGTACAGGAGTGTGCTTAGGACACAGGCTCTATAGACTTGGATCTTTGTATGTGTCGTCAGCTTCTTATTGAGCCATACTCTCTTTGTGAGTCTAGAGAACATGGTGGCTGCTTTGCCAATGCGTTTATCCAGCTCACCATCCAGAGAGAGGGTGTCAGAGATGGTTGAGCCAAGGTACACAAAGTCATGAACAACCTCCAATTCTTGTGTAGAGATGGTAATGGAAGGAGGTGAGTCCACGCCCTGGCCCATGACTTGTGTTTTCTTCAGGCTGATTGTTAGTCCAAAGTCTTGGCAGGCCTTGCTGAAACGATTCATGAGTTGTTGGAGGTCTTCGGTAGAGTGGGCAACAATGGCTGCATCATCTGCGAAGAGGAAGTCCCGCATGCATTTCAGTTGGACTTTGGTCTTCGCTCTCAATCTGGAGAGATTAAAGAGCTTTCCGTCTGATCTAGTCCGGAGATAGACACCCTCGGTTGCAGTTCCAAAGGCATGCTTCAGCATGACAGCAAAAAAGATCCCAAAAAGTGTTGGTGCGAGGACACAGCCCTGTTTCACTCCGCTTCGGATGTCAAAGGGGTCTGATGTTGAGCCGTCAAAAACTACAGTGCCTTTCATTCCCTCATGGAAAGATCTGATGATGTTAAGGAGACGAGGTGGACATCCAATCTTGGGAAGTATTTTAAAAAGGCCATCCCTGCTAACCAGATCAAATGCTTTTGTAAGGTCTATGAAGGCCACTAAGAGCGGCTGTTGTTGTTCCCTGCATTTCTCCTGCAGCTGTCGGAGGGAGAATACCATGTCAGTGGTGGATCTATTAGCTCGAAATCCGCACTGTGATTCTGGATAGACTCTGTCTGCAAGCACCTGGAGCCTCTTCAGAACAACACGGGCAAGCAGCTTCCCTACAACGCTAAGAAGAGAGATGCCACGGTAGTTATTGCAGTCACCCCTGTCTCCTTTGTTCTTGTACAATGTGACAATGTTTGCATCCTTCATGTCCTGTGGTACTCCACCTTCCCTCCAGCAGAGACAAAAGATTTCGTACAGTTCAGTGGTGATGATCTCCTTACAGCATTTCAGCACTTCAGCAGGGATGTTATCCTTTCCAGGTGCCTTGCCGGAGGCGAGGGAGTCCAAGGCCGCTTTTATTTCTGCTAGGGTTGGTTCGCTGTCCAGCTCTTCCAAGACAGGTAGGCACTCAATGTTATTTAATGCTTCTTCGGTTACATTATATTATGGTAAAGTTAAAGTCTTTCTAAAAAAATATTACAGGTCTAGTCATAGTGACAATGGAAGGCAGAATGACTCAGAATGGATCTATTGGGCACACCTGTGCAGCTACAATGGCCCACATCCTGGGTGTCTGGGGATTATCCACAAACTGGGCCACTTTTATTAATAAATAAAAATGCAAGACAGGCCTTTGTGTGATCCCCTGGCCTACTCCAACTCAGTGAAGTCTACTTAGTTTCTGGGGCTGTGGCCAGCAGATGGTCTCTGGTTCCGTCTGTATGCAGGCACGCTCGTCCGGTCCCAAGGGCAGCTCCGGCTAAAGGCTTTCTCTCCCATGTTATTTAATGCTTCTTCGGTTACTACATATTATGGTAAAGTTAAAGTCTTTCTAAAAAAATATTACAGGTCTAGTCATAGTGACAATGGAAGGCAGAATGACTCAGAATGGATCTATTGGGCACACCTGTGCAGCTACAATGGCCCACATCCTGGGTGTCTGGGGATTATCCACAAACTGGGCCACTTTTATTAATAAATAAAAATGCAAGACAGGCCTTTGTGTGATCCCCTGGCCTACTCCAACTCAGTGAAGTCTACTTAGTTTCTGTTTTTTTAACCAGTTACCTGTCCACAAAACGGCCTATATTTTAACCAGTCCCCACAGTTGTGAAACATTATTTTTACCACAAGTCTCAGAATCTTGCAACCAGCAGGACTCATGGCTATACTGGGCTGTGGTTTTCTGGTAACTGTAGTGCCAAAAAGGTAACTTTTCTTGCCTTTCCTATTCCTGCCAAATTTACATGGGACACTTTATTTTATTATCTCTTTATATAACTTTATATATTATGTTATCATAATCCATTTCCCTATTTAGTTTGGCTTTATTTCTGACATTTAAATGTATCATTATGGGTTGTATTAATAGTGTACTGTATTATTTCAGAAATTCTAGTAAATATAACCTTATTTTAAGTACAGTGGTGCCTCGCTTAACGATTTTAATTGGTTCCAAAAAAAACATCGCTATGTGAAAACATTGTTAAACGAAACACCATTTCCCATAGAGATGCATTGAAAACCCGATAATCCGTTCCAATTGGAACGGATTACCATCCTTAAGCGAAAATCCCCATAGGAAAAAACGTTAAGCGAAACCCATTGAAATGCATTGAAGCCTATTTCAATGGGGGGAAAAGTTCACAAAAAAATTCAAAAAGACTCAGAACAAAGCCAAATTAAGTTAACGAAGGTTTTATTAGGCACACGAACGATTCCAAGCATTTTAAACATTTTTAAACATTTTAGAATATTTTAAAAATAGCAAAAAATGGGACTGTAAAAAAACATTAAGCGAAACAAGGGGACCTAAAACTGTCATCGTTAAGTGAAGCATGGTCCCGAAATCATTAAGCAAAAATCGCCCATAGGGAAAATCGTTAAGTGAAGCATAAGATCGCTCCAAAAAAGCCATCGTTAAGTGAATATTCCGTTGTACGAAACAACCGTTAAGCGAGGCACCACTGTATATGAAATAACCGTATTGATGAAAGGGAATAGATGGCTGTGGAGCCAAAGGACAAAGACCCCCAGAGGTGAAGGCTCTTTCTCTTGAAATGTAACAGTTTTGGTTCTACATGGTCTAACATTTATGACATACTGTCAAATCTCCCATATTCTGATCTTCTCAGCATAGTGTCACTATTGTTATTTAAGAAGTTTAGTCCACAAAAGTCAACCTTACAAGAGCCTAACTGGTCTATGTTTTACATTTCACTGAGCATTAACAATAATAATGTTATTCACTGAATTTAACAGGTCTAAACAGTTCGCTACCAGTTCACCGAGTGTGTTGTACACTTTCAGCCACATGTTCTACTTCCTGCATTTTTAGCTCCTGCTACCATTCAGGGGCACAAAGAATAGTTCAATTGTTAATATTCTGTTCCTCTTTACCACAAATAGTGCCAACATTCTGTTCCTGTAAAGTTTGTGCCCATTTTCTCCCTGTTTTACCTCTGACAAAGATGGTGTGGTGCCTCTTTAAATGTGTAGTGTGCATAAGCATGCACGAGGGTTCTTTAGGAATTGATCCATCAGTCTCCTTTCAGCCCACATGGGTTCCACATAAGTTCAGGCACAAATCTATTCCATCCTGTTTCCATGTCAGTCTGTGAAAAAATAGACATAAAGTACTGTGATGTTCGCCCTTGTGACCCCTACTTTTTTTTTCCCCCTCACAAAGGCTCATGTCACTTTCTCTCTATTGAAAAGGAGATCCTCCTTCTATGTCATCTGGATGTCTTATGTGTAAAAACAGATCATAGCCACTTGTCATTAAGTGTGAGCCAGAGACTCAGTTATACTACACATTCATTCATTCATTCATTCATTCATTCATTCATTCATTCATTCATTCATTCATTCATTCATTCAGTTAAATACATAAATTTACTACACCTTTTTCCTCAAAAGGACCCAAAGCAGTTTACAACAATTAAAAGCCAATATTTAAAAGCTAAAAACAGTGAGTATATAAGTATTTTAAAAGAATTAAACAAGTATTATATTTTAAATGGTCAATAAAATCAATATTAAAAACATGCTTAAAAACAACAGAGCACAACAATCCATTTTTAAAAAAACCTTCTCAGGCTACCAGCTACTAAGGAAAACCTTGCCTAAAGAGAAAGATCTTTGCCTGCTTACAGAAAGCCAGCAAAGATGGTCCCAGCTTAGCTTCCTGTGGTTGGGAGTTCCAGAGTTTGATTTATCTTTAACAACCATGGCTCCATTCTAGGGAATCTAAAACTTGGTACTGTACTTTCATGAGATATTTGTTTCTCTGCCAGAGAGCTCTAGTGCTCACCAAAAAGAATTCTAAGTAACTCACCCACCTACAAACCCAGGATTCCATAGGAAAATGCCGTGGCAGTTACCGTAAGTGAAATCTGGCGTCTATAACTCAGAGGCAGAAATACACTCTAAGAGAAACATAGAGAAAGAGAGGAAAGTTAGACTATTCAGTACTTGGAAAATGGGGCTGTCTTTCTTGAGATCTAAGTGGACTTTTGCTGTCCCACATGTGTTCCCTACTTATGCTCAATGTGCAGACTTGCAAATAAATACAAATTGGATAAAACTTCCGTGAGCCAAAATTACCTCTTTGGGTGGTGGGGGGGACGAATGCTCCTCTTTTAAAGCCAAGCACAGGCATTGTTGAATTTGATGAAACATTGCTAGCAAGATACCCAGTACTAAATGCATCACAGGCAGTTATCTCATTCTTCTTTCACTAAATAACAGCCTGTTTGGAGGCCCTCTGCCAATCAATTTCAGATGGCTAATTCTCCCCCCCTCCTGTGCCATAACCTAGGCAAAGATCCATCTCCAAGTGATCCTTTTGGGACACATCAGCACTGGAACATGTGGGGGAAAGTTCAAGCCCCTCTGCAAGTATGCTATGGCCCCACTCTGGACAGCCCACCCTTCCCTGGATGCAGTTCAGTTTTTAAAATAATTCACTTTACTAGAGCAAAAACAGCGAATAGTCTTGTGGCATCATATGTACTTTTCATCCACCAATAACTGTTAAATCATCCTCGGTGAGTACTACAAAGATCATCACCATGCTGGCACCGTTTGCACTTCTGTTACACATCACATGCTTTCCCTCTCACTTATGTATAAATATCTGCCTTCTGAGGCTTATTCTGTGCATCTGACTCAGTGGGGGCTCATAATTCCTATGACATGGGGCCAGTGAATCCACTCTAGATTTTCACCTGAACTTTACAAGCACTTTCCAAGGTGCTGAGCCTTGTCCTACTGAATAGATTCGATACTTTAAGTTACTTTAAGTAACTCCTTTGAAGTCTAGACTAAAATCCAGAGTGAATTCACCAACCTTCATTGAGTGTACTGTGCACGCACACACACACACACACACACGCACACACACGCACACACACAGAGAGGGGGGGATTACAAATACAGGTTTTAGGTGCCACAAGCCTCTTCATTGTTTTTCTAGAACACTAATATCTAATACTACTAAGTAAAACCAGAAAATTCACACAACTATAGGTTAATCAGATGTATTTAAGAGTGTGAGCAATTCCAACACAGTACATAAGACTACTTTGTCTATCCCATGGCCCTGAAAGAGAGTCACAGACTCAACATATATTGCAGTGGACATAATGTATTCCAGTTCTAATGCAACTTTTAAAGATTTTCTTTCTTGTCCCAACCACAGGCTTGTGGGCAGAAATTTAGAACTCAGGTGGTTTGAGTATAATCAAGGTTATAATCAAGCACAGTTAAACAAGAAGCATTAGCGTGTACATTATTAAACAGGTTCCACATCTTTTGCCAGGAAGTAAATTCAAGCACAGGCACGGCAAGCACTGCCCAGTGCGCCCCGAGTTTGGGAGGGGAGTGGAGAGAGACACTTGAGATGGCTGGCTTTCCATGAGTCAGAGTACCTGGCTATGGAGCCAGGGGTGGGGTGTTCAATTCCTCACTGTGCATCATAAGAGAAAAGCCAGCCTGTGTGTATTGAGCAAGTTACACAGTTCCAAAGCAGTCCCAGAAGAAGGGGATAGAAAAGAACAATTGAATACACCTAGAAAATCTTGAGAAGCATTGTTATATATCAGAATGGACTTGACAGCACATACTTATACCCAGTTACAGGTCTAACTGGCCACCGTATTAAACAGAATACTGGATGAGATGGGCCTTGGGAATTTCCTATTCTTTTCTTTCACATGTACGTAAGTCTCCCCACCCCTGTATACTCCCTGCTTTTTTTGTAACCATACCCTGCTAACACTGTACATTCTAGCAGGTTTCAAGCAGGCCTGTCTGGTTTGTGTACTCTTTCTAACAGAAACGTGCCCAGTTCCTCCATCTGGGCACAGAACCTTCCAGCACTAGCCTATAAAAATATTGTTCCCTTCTCTCCAGGGGCCCTTTTTAAGTGTACTTTTCCCTTTGACTCACCAGTCTCTTTAAATAGCTCACATTTCATTCTGCATGCTTACTGCCAAGTCTTTGCCTATCCCTGTTTAGACAACTTGAAATAGCTATTCACCACCACCACCTATGGGACAAGTGATCATGATCCGCATGTTCCACAGCCCCTAACAGGTTCCCTCAAACATGCCACTTTAATTCCTGTTTCATTAGGATGTTTTTGAGGATAAGCACTTGTGTTGTGGGTCTGAGAAATCCCAAATCTTTTGTAAAAGTGAAGCTTGTCTGAAATCTTTGTGGTGCCCCACAAATCCTTCCTCCTGGCATCCCCCCATTTCACTGGTGACTTGAATCTACTTGGCTCTGCACACATAAGAAATGACTCTGGAGGTCCTGGACATGACTGATTTATTTACTGGTTCTCCCCTCTTTCAGGCTTTCATGACTGTACTTTAAGTGATGCCAGTGCACAACATTTGATGAAGTCGCTACCAAGCTACAGGCTTTGGGTAACATGAGTGAGCTTCCCCCCCCCCGGATAGCACGAGACTTACAGGGTCAAACGTGATTGATTTGAAGAAGCGGGAGAATGCCGTGTGATATAAAAGGGATGTTCTCCTTTGTAACTGTCCTCTTCTTTCGAAGGCTCCAGTGGAGAAAGAGGGCTCCATCGCTCGCTGGTTTTCTTGCTGCGTCATTGCTCTGGAGGATGGGAGGGCAGCAACGGCTCCCTCCCACGGTTAAGAAATTGCTCATGCTTGCTGTTTTGTTAGTTACATTTAAGGTTTTAATTTAAATTTGATCTTATTATTATTAAACTTGGGAGAGAGTAACAAGGGGTTTGTGGGTGGCGGTGGCAGTGCATCAGCGCACTTCGGTGTGCATGCTCAGGCGCGGCAAGTGTTTGGGTTGGGGCTGATCGGGAAAGCCACCTTTTCTTCCCCAGCTACCCTCCTTTGCTTCCAATTTTTCCAGCTCCCTTTGAGGCTGTAGCATGGTTTGGCTGAGCCGGTTGCTGAACTCCGTCTCTTTTAAAAGCCGTGTTCAAGCAGCCCTACCCCCAACTCCTACTTTACTTAATTTCCCATCCAGGCATCGAGTTGCAGTGAGGTGCAACAGGACTCATAGGGACGTGGGGCTTGGTGGTTAGCCTGTTCTGGGGATGAAGTGTTTACTATATTTAGATAATTAAGAGTAATAAATAAATACTGATTTACATAGACATTCCCTTGCCATAATACTGATAATTATAGGGTTTGATTAGAATTAATTAAATAGAGTGGTGGAATGTCTAAGTGAATTTATTAGATTTATTAAATTAGCTAATTAATAGACAGTAAGTTGTTGATATTAATTAAGTGAGTATTAATTTTAGGAATGTTAGGAATTAATTGCACAATATAATTATAGTAAGTAGGTTAAAATTATGCTATTGATTACATAATTAAGTAAATTAGTAAGTGATTCTTTCTGTAACGGGACATTTCATGAAATTGGTTGGTAATAAATTCAGGGTTGATTGGTTAACTTATAAAGTGAGTACTGCATGGCCACAAGGTAAGTCTTTTGCTAGTTGAGTGTACTGTAAAGTAATTAGTTCTGGAGTAACTAGGAAAGTAATTAGTTACAGAGTAACTTGAAAAGTAGTTAGCAGTAATTGGGAAAGTAATTTTTAAAAAGAAGTTGAAAAGAGGGGAATAGTAACAAGCATAGAGGAGAGTGTACTGTTTAATAGTGAGGTAGCTGCTATTACAGTGAAATAGTCTTTTAACGGCAGGAAGTCTTTTACGTAATGGCATCAAGGAAGGGCTCAGGCAACAGGAAGGGGAAACAGCCAGTTAAGAAAAGGCTGGCACCACAGGTGTCCACACCTCAATCTTCCTCTGACAAGGAATCATGGCCTGTTTGGAAAGAGCTCCAGGAAAAAAAATTCAGCCATTGAGGCTGAGAGAATTACTAGACAAACACCTCAACGGGGGGAGGTGCAACCTTGTAGGTCTAGTAGGAATTCTAGAAGCCATCATAAGGCCAAACTTAAGGCTTTAGCTCAGGATCTAATAGAGTGCTTTCATGTTATTGAGGCTGAGTGGCCATCGGGAGAAGCTGACAGGAGCAAGGCGGCGAGTGCAGTATCTACGCCTAAGCCTAGGCGTTCCAAAAGGAGCAGCAGATCTTCTTTGTCTGCAATGACCACTTCAAACATCAAGTGTCAGGAGGGACAGGAGGGTGTCGTAAACGTTTCTCATAACAGTCAACATGCCATTGAGAGCCCCAGCTTGCCATCGACATCCTCGGGTGAGTGGAGCATTCCTCCTGGCACTTACACATCGACACCCACCTGGCCTTGGGCTGGTGGCGGTCCATTTACACCCTCAACACTTGAATAACTCTATTACTGATGTTTAATGTTATATTTTTATATTGTTATTATATGTGTTGTAAGCCACCCAGAGTAGTCAGTTGACTAGATGGGCGGAGTATAAATGCTATAAATAAATAAATTAAATAAATTCACCAATGCACATAACTTGGCACCACCTGGCACATCTTGGCTATATGCCATGCCACAATTCAGTGGCAGTGGGATGGCATATCCCAATTTAGCACCAGCAAGTCAGGGCACCCTGGCCAGTGTTGGTGGGTGGCCTTATCCTTCTGTAGCCAGTACAGGCTACAATATGGTACTATTATGCGCTCTCCCATATGGAGATTATTCTATGCCGTTGGGTGATCACCTTACCATGGTGATTAAGGAAAAAATCTAAAAGGATCGGTATGTAGATTTATTTGACTTATTAAATAGAAACATAGAGAAGAAGGTGTTAGATAAGGAGAACGAAAAAGAGAAAGAGGAGGAGGAGGAGAAAGAAGCCAGAAAGGAACTGGGCGAACTAGCCTCTGGGCTTTTTAATCTATGTGGGGGTCATAGCAAAAGCCCAACCATGGAGGGCTCAATCTCTATTTCAGTAGTTGGATACCATATACAGGGTGTATATGGATTTTT